GGCCCTGTGTATGTAATTGCCTTGTTACGAGCCCGACACAGCTGCTTGCAGACAGGCCAAGCAGCCAACACGGAAATAATTTCAGGTAGCAGGAAAAGGCTTGTGGATAAAGTTGATATCTGGCTGGATGTGGTCATACCTAGCTGGACAAGTGGAGAAACAATCAAAGGCACAGAGGCTGTGCCCACGCGAGCAGTATGGCAGCCTTTCTCTGGAGCAGCTGCTTGCAAGAGGGGTCTTCCTGTCACCTGAAACAGCACCAGCTTCAAAAACTCATCTGTGCTGGGTTTTAAGCCCAGACATACCATGTGGGATTCTCCCTTCTGAGTCTCTGAGGTGCGCCAGTGTCTCCGTTCAGGAGTTTGCCATGATGAGGGCAAGACATAACTTTTTAAAGGAGGCTGAGATATTTAAGATGCTACAGCTTCAAGGAAAAAAAAAAAAAGAAATACAGTGAGATTCAAAAGCTGATAGTTTACTATGTGGCTACTGTAGGTGGTGACGTATTTCAAACCATCTAACTACTACCCAGCAGTTCCCTGTACGCTGCAAACTGGAGCTGAGCCATCAGTAACCTTAAGCACTGAGACACAAAGATGCAACAAGTTTAACAAAGATCTCTGCAATTACTGAGTTTGACTACACTAGAAGACTAGATGAATGTGTCCCCTCCCTTTATGAAGTCCTGGGAACTTAGTGTCCTGCTATTTCCTTTGAGTTAATACGTCTATTTTAAAAATACTGGCTGTATTTATCTGGAACAAACAATTACTTTTCATTTTTTTGCTCATTATAATGAGCATTCGGCCTTAAAATCACAATGTTGATGTTGCAGAGCTCTTCCCTCGCTCCAAGTGAACACCAGTGACACATCTGCAGTCTTTTTCCATGAAGTTTACAATAACTCTCTAAGTGTTTTTGGGAAATACTCTGTGCCTCTAAAACATGACTGCTGCTGGTGAGCCAGAATCCTGCAGCACATACACTGAGTGCTGAGCGGTTCTGTTACTTAAGATGATGAAAATTTGGATTGGGATGCTGAAAACAAGGTCCCTTATTTTGAAATGCCCCATCAAATACAGCCCTCAGCTCCTCTCTCAAAGAAGGTCACAAGGAAGGAGGCTAGTGGGCATTAACTTGGCAGCAGGATTTCAGCGTCATCGGAGACCCAATGCACCGCTTTCCTAAATAATTGAAGATCCCCACTCTCTTTCAAGCAGCACCACTTTTCTTTTCTCCAGACTTAAATTAGATGAACACCTACACAGCTTTCAACTTAGTCCAGGAAGACCTCTGGCTTTTCTGGTGTGTCAGGCAGGATATATAGTTCTGTCATTAACCCCTTCCCTCCATCCGATGGGAGCCCTCTAGCAACAAATGCTGTCTGAAAATTTGGTTGATACAACCACACATGAACTACTGCAGATATCTAAATAACAGATAATATATGTGAAAGGCATGTGTGGAAAAGAAAGGGGTTATTTCTCGGAAATTACCCATTGAATAGGTAAGTTGTTGAGATTGTGTTGTCTTAGGAATCCACAAACACTTCACATGTGGAATAGCTCCTTTGGAGCCAAGGGCTGATCTCTACCCCTGGTAGAGTGATGCTGATGTCTTAATCTACAGCTGACAACAGCTATTACCAAGACAGAGGTCTAGCTAGACTGGAGCGTATTGCTTCCCGTGTGTCTTTAGCTGCTTGTACAGCCAGTATCTGGGATTTGTCCTTGAAATACTCACACTGCTAGCAAATGCCTCCATGGGTGGAGAGGTGAGATGGTAGTACAGAAGAAGAGCAGTGATCGCCACTGTGAGATGTAGCTGCTTACCTAATGCGGTGTTTGCACCAGCTGCTTGTCCAGAGCTCCGTTCCTGGCAGAGGTTTTCCCCAGGATCCTTCTCAGCTACCCAATGTTTCCCTCTCAGACATCTGTTTTTCTTAATGGTCTGGGAACTGTACACAGCCTGTCAACTTTCCCCAAATTAATTGGTGCCTCTCTGTATGTACTTCCAGGGCTTGTTCTGGTGAGCTCTTGCTGCTCTAGAGGGACGAGGGGTGAACTAACGGAGGAACAACTGGCAAAACCTCCCAGGCTGCCCCCTGAGAGAGGAGAGGTAGTGCAGTCTGTGGGGCAAGTGCGTTCGGTCTCCTGCGAGCCCCATCTCCTCAACTAAGGCACAGGGAGAGAGAGAGCCGGGAAGGCTGGGGATGCAGGCGTGCTGCTTCAGAGTGGGGAATAAAATGCATGAGCCATGGTTATCTGATACAGGCTTCCGAGATGAACAGCTTTCTGTGGGTTAAAATGTGCCCTGCACAAAATTGTGATTTTAAACCACCCAAGTGATAATGTTTCTTTAAGCGAGTTGCATAGCCCTGTAGCTGTAGGCATGATGTGAGACTGCACCCTGCTCTCACCTACACACGCGGAGACGCTTGGGCAGCTGCTCTGAAGGAAACCACTGAGTGAATGGAACAGCCCCTGTAGCAGGAAAGGTCTCAGCCCGATGAATCACCTTTCAACTGCTATTCAGTTTAGCTTCTCCCTTGCTTGCCTCAGGTGGGATGAGGAAAAAAGCCTTGCTTTTAGCAGAGGTCTGAAATAAGACAGAATTCAACAGAAGGAGGCTCAGATGCAAGGTGGGATGAGGAAGGGACTGCTCTTGGACTGACAGAATGATTAAAGAGGATGAACCTTAAGCAGGTGCATGTGCAGTCTGCATCAATTATCTAATCTAAAGCTATTCAGAAGGTCAAATTAGAAGCCGAAGTCACTGGATTGTCAAAGAACGGACATAGAGAATGTAAGAAGCAGGGACAATTCAAAATACTTCAGTTAAATGCTTTAAGTAGGCTGTGATACCTCGCCATTTAAACTCAATGCTAGAGACAGTCTAGTTGTAGCAGCACAGGGATTGAGCTCCATGTCACTGACTATGCTGGGAGCAGAAAATCAGAAGGGTAAATGAGCCTCCACAGAGCTCCCAACTGCTGCAGCTTCCAGGACTCATCAGTTAGGACTGTACTATCTTTGTAACACATTGCTATTAAGTTAGGTCTACACTGTATACAGGCAGGTCAGAGGAGGAGGTTCATATTTATCTGAGCCAGGAATTTAGTCTAAAAAGATACGCAGATAAGGAGTGGAGGAAAGCGATAGTAAGCACACAGCTAGCAGCCAGCTTGAGGTGTGAATGCTAAGCTATATCCACAGAGATGTCTTTTTAGCTGGACCCTGGAGGCCTCAGTGGCCCCAGCGGCACTGAGGATCCGGGTCTGCCAGGCTGCTTTCTCAGCAGCTGCCCTCCTTTTGGCTCCATCCGGAGTCTCCAGATTGTGAGAGCCCTGAAAACCAGGCCCTACACTGGGCAAATGAGTCCACGCAGCTGTAATTTGCAGTTATGTTTGAAAATGCCTGTCTGAATTCTCAGCCCAGTCTGGATCACCTCTCATGATGCGTTAGGAATTTAGTGGTTTCCATAGGCAAATGACTGTACCACATATCCTAAGCAAAACGCACACAAGTAATTTTTGAGCTGCAGCTTAGCATTTGACATGGATTTTTTCTGTGATCTGAGAAAGAAAATTATCTCTGATTCTGAGTTAATCAGCATATAAAACTCTCCCAACAACTCTAAAGGAGAAACCCAATATTTGCAAGAGCTTTGAAATACCCTACTTCAGTGCTCTATTTCTTTTTCCTGATGGCTGACTGTAACTCTTACATGTTCTTTCAATGGCAAGAAGGAGGACTAAGTTCCTTCAACCTCAGGCACAGTTTCTCCAGGCTCAAGCTGAGCCACCGGAACCAGGTGCACAGGAAGCGCAGGCTCGGTGCCTGCACGCCACTTGCGAGTAAATCGGCACTAGGAAGCTCTGGCCAGCATGCCACTGAGTTTGTGGACCTTAAAATAAAAGGTGTTGAGAAGACAAATTATATTTAACTTACAAGAGAACAATCCAGCAACTTTTGAGTTGCAGAGCAGAGGCAGAAGAAATAAAGCATTACATTTTCATTACTTTACAGCTTTTCTTTCCCTTGGGCTGCAAAAAGAAAAGGCTTCCAGCTTTAGCCTTTGAGAGTCTATGGACTAAACCGGTGCCCACCACAAAGGCTCAAAGAGCTGTTATAGAAGATGCAGGCTTCGGTTTGCTGGATCAGAGCTTGAAGCTGCTGCAGGGGATGGACTCTGTGAGACTGGACCTTGAGCATCAACACTCAACAACTCCTGAGCAGAGCCCTGCAGGGCCTGGCACGGAGGGCATCACTGGTGGGTCACCCACATCAGGTGCTTGAGGTCAGAACTGGAGCAGTGTGAGATGCCAGTGCCAAAGGCAGGGGGCTGGAATGGGAGGGCAGAATCAAGGAAGGCGAGTCCCATGCTCAGTGCATCCAAACAGCAGGAGAAGGGCTGAGAAGAAATTCGTTGGTGGCTGTGGGCAAAGGCTTCTTGAGCTGCACAGAGCAGGGCTTGATATTACATGAGATCAGAAGTCCTGATATGAGTGGAAAAGGTTTTGCATTGAGCTGGGAGACGAAAGAGAAAGTTCTAAGAAGACTGTTTCCTTTCTGTATGGGTGACCTGTCTGACCTGTTAACTTTGTGTCTCCTGTCACCTCATGCTTCAGTGTATTCAGCAATTCGTCCCTTTTCTTCCACTCCTCTTTACAGACACCTGCAGCGTAGAGGACTGGTGTGCATGCCTGTACTTGTTTGCATGGACAGCCCTCTGCCCCTAACTGGGAATGAATACCTTGAAACTGGGGATGAAAACACTGGGTTTTCATGGAGGGCCAGTGTTTGCCAACTCCATGCACTTTGTAAAGATTAAGTAGGAAACCAAATGAATCTGTGCACATTTCACAAGTTAAACACACGCTAGCTGCAAGGCCCAGGGGCTGAAATTCCTAGCAAACCTAGCACAGAAGCTCAAGTGTGTGTATACGGAAAGGGAGGAATAAAGTGGACCTGTTTCATCTGGACTTACATCAGGGGAACATGGCGCTCAGCAGAAAGGTATTTTAAGATGATTGACTTGAATAACCCATGACTGCTGTCAGAGTACACAGTTTTAAAGGATGAAGAAACCCATTCTTAAAACAGGAAGAAAGAATACAAAGAAAATTGGTTTTGTGTTTTATGCAGGCAATAAAAGAACAGACTCTTGCAGATATGATGCCAGTTTTTTGACTTACGTTTTCCAGAGGCAGAAGTTTTGAGGGCTTGAACACTGTGGTGTAGCAGTAAAGAATGACAGACACTTTTGGGGCCTGATGCTGAATAGCCACTGGCTTCTGCTAGCAGTCCCACACGTGGAGGGACTGCAGAAACTGTGTGGCACTGCCCCTCTGGTGTCCCCACCAATACTATTGCTTGAATGCAATGGAAGATCGCTCCTGCCATTATCTTTCTAATGCTCTGCCCAGTCTATTTTCGAATCTCTTGCAAAAAGAGGCTTCCGCTACATTTGGTTTCCACCACACTATTCCAAACTGTGCCAGACCTCACTGCTAGAAGTTCTTCCTGCTATTTGGTGAGATACGCATCTTGCCTTTAATTGGATCCCATTATTCCCAGGTGCACTGCTTTTGCAATGCACTAATTCTGTTTCCTCTGCGTTAAAAGTTTTAGACTACTGTCCTCTGTCTCACTGCAGAGCCGCACTGACTTGTTTAACTCTGTTCTTCGGAGGCAGCTCTCCCTGGCCTTTGCATTTTTGTGTCTTTCTCTGAACAAGTCGTTGGTCTGCATCCTTTAGATAGCAAGGCTTTCCAAACTGCATGAGTTAATTCTCTGTGCTTGAAAAGCTGTGGTCTATGTAAGCAACATATTTCTTGCCTTAAGAAGCAGCACGTAGCTTAGTTCAGTGATAGAACATTAGGGAAATGTATTATATTTTGTGAAGTACTGAAGGATGCTCAGAAAAGCACCACTGTGTGCCACAGCTACCAACCTGGACAAAAGCACAGTTGGAGCTGTGGTCTGATCATGCTGGGAGCACGCACTTGAGAAGCCCAAGGCGAACAGTGGCTTTGTTGAAGCTGGCGGTGGTAAATCTATAACCTCTGCAGGTCAGCCACTAGTCATCCACACTGACAAAATACTGTGTGTATCTTGTTATAAAGGGCAGATGTTTATTTGCTTAAGGACACTTGTTTGCAAAAACAAGCTTACTGCCTTGCTGCCTGATGTGTGGGTTTTGAGCTCTTTTAAAATTTGATGCTGAAGAACAAAAGAAAAAGGGCATGCATCTGTACCAGCTGCCAATCCAGCAAGTGAGGTCTGTGTTTTTAGCAAGCCATGTGCTCATATCCGGCAAGAGTTTGATCTGATGTCCTTTTTTCTTTCTAACAGGTGAAAACTTCATTTGGCACTAATGGGGCAGATAAGCCTCATCTTTGTCAGTACATTAGCAGCACCCATATACTGGTGATAAGATATCATAAAGATATGCCTCAGGGTTGATGTTGATGTAAAAGCATTTTTGGCATAAGACTCCTAGCTGGATACGTTGTGGCTTGGAAGAAGTGAGACTTAAATCTGTGCCTATGTGAGACTCTGTAAGAACTGAGTGCCCCGTGCCTCTGACAGTAACTAGGTGTGAAGCAACTGCGCAGGGAGGGTGTAATAATAACCTCTCCTTACACAACAGGTCTCCTGTCTGAAGACCAAATTCATCCTTATGCATGCCGCGCTGCAATCTGCTAAAGGCGTATAACTGTAAGTCACCAAGACAAGCTGTGTCTCTGCAGTATTACAGCACCTACAGGTGCTTCACCAGTGAAACAGACAAGTCCTCCAACAAGTTCTCTTGCTGCTGGGTGCAGCTGCCACAGCAGATCCCAAACTCAGGCTGCAGAGTTGGTGTTTTAGGAAAAGGAGCATCCACCTCTCTATGACTATTAACCAATCACTTGGAAATAGAGAGGGAAAACACCCCTAGTTTGTATGGGCTTGGTCATTTCCATGATGAAAACCGGCAGAGTTTCCTAGCGGGACCTACTGATAAAGCAATGGTGGTGTTTTCCCCTGTTCTTCAGATAAGCAGATCCTGGGAATGTATAAGAGAAGGTATGCATAATATGCTGCTCAACAGTGACATGTCCTGCCAATTAGACTGTGGAATACAGGAAAGCAAGCTTTTCCAAAATGCTGTCACCATGACCGGGGGTACTCTGATGCCCACAGGTTAAAATGGGGAGTGAGGGAGAGGAGGAGAGGAGGGGTTCAGAAGAATCATCCCTTCTCCAGCGACACAGCGAAAGCTTTAATTCTGCAAACCATTTACTCTGGGGTCTCCGCTAGGTACAAGTAAGGGTCACAGCACAGCCCACCCCACGGGGTTTGGGTTTGTTCCTTTCTATCCTTCAGGAGGGAGACCTCATCCAGCCACTGGGATGTAGAAGTCTGGCAAAACTGATCTTTTAAAGGATCCCCTGCTTCAGACATGCCAATTACTGTCAGGCAGGTCCTAAATCTATGCAGACCTGAGGAGGAAAATGGGGTCATATGGTACCTCTTCTAGTGTATTTAAATACTCTTCCCTTTATCTACACAGACACTCTGCGTGAGGGTGTCATTTTGATGAGTTTGGGAGGAAACATTGAAAACAAGTGTATTTGAGGTTACAACATTCTGTTAAGCAAAAAGAAAAAAGAAGAGCGGAAAAGGAATCTTTTAACTTTTGGAATGAAAGCCAAGCACCAGAGCTTCCTGAGAAAGGGAAATTGTTTCCTGGCAGAGCTAACCATGGTGTAATGCCTGCACTTCATCTTGGCTCCACAGCTGCGAGGGTGGGCAGAAACCTCGCTGAGCCCAGTTCACCTCTGCGTGGCTTACTGTCCTGCTGCTCTGAGGACCATATAGGTTACCAATTCCAGCCCCCTTGTCTGCACAATACCAAGTACCCTTTCCTCCATCCTCTCCACTTCAGTTCTCTTGGGTGACAGCTGACATGTCCTTAGTGGAGTTTTCCTAGGGACAGGGTAAGTGCCTCTGCATAAAGAAAGCTGCCCTGTAGTTTGGGCGAGGGCATCATTCCCCATGGCTCCTGGAAGGGTGCAGCAAGTGGGATACTGGACCTGGAAATGTGCTCAGCTATAATGTCTGGATGACCACGGCACAAGGGAAGAAATGGTTTCTGACCTTGCCTGTTGAGGGAGGGGATGTGTTTGAACCCCAGGAGGCTTCTGCAGCCTCCCGCTGAGACAGGGAACGGAGGACTCGGAGGAGTTTTCTCCACACTGCTCTGCTGCTCGCTAGAGGAGTGGGGCAGGACGCAGGGTCTCTTTGTGGTATCCTCACCTGAACGCAGGAGGGAGCTTTACTGAAAAGAGCAGTGGCCCCATCACTCCCCAAATGTTCCAGATGAGGATATGGTGGTGTAGGGAGAGCACAGCGCCTGGGGCTGGAGCCGTCTCCAGCAGGTTGCCCAGAAGTGAAGTGGCACAGTGAGCAGAGAACTGCTCTCAGTCCTGGAAAAGCTTTCCCTCTCCTGAGCGGGTGTAGCAGCAGGCAAAATGAAAAGCTAGCAGGACTAGTTGCAGGAAAGAGACATGGGAGTGGAGATGTCACAGAAAGAAATGAAATCTGTTGGTAGGCACAAAGAGGGGAGCCCTCCCAAAACAAACCTGGTGGCTGCACCTTTGCAGCTAAGGGAACCCATCGCACCAGAGGGAGCCACCAAAGCGAAACTCGGTCTTGGACCGCTTCCCTTTGCTGTGTGAGCAAAGTTCAAATGTCTCCGTGCTTCCAAGCTCCTTCAGAGAGGCTGGGAAGAGGAATGCCCTGACTGCTGTTGAATACAGGCTGCAGAAAGCCACAAGCACTTTCAGTGGATGCCTTAACTCACAACATCTGCAGTGAGGTTTGGTACAGCTGTGGGAATTAGACAGCTTAGGTCAAATCTGAAGATGTAAGCTAACAAACCAACAGAATAATTTCCGATTCTTTTTGTACCATGGGTGCAAAGAAGATTCAGTGGATGCTTTTTTACAAGTGACTTAGCTTTCAGCAGTGACACTTTACACATTTTTAGTACTCACTCCTCATGTTAACAGTCTGTGACATAAGCTTCGTGATTTCAAGTTCTTTTCATCAGTCATAACACTGGAAAGAAAACTGATTCTCAAATCTATCTTGCATCAAGAAGCTGGGTCTTCACAAAAAAGCCCTGAACATCAGCAGACTCACAAAATCACATGAACTGCAAGAATGGCATTTTGCTGCCTCTTTCTCCCTGGTTGGGTTCTTAAATGGTTACAGTTAGTGCTTTCAATGTGGCATGCTCCTGACAGCAGAACGGCTAAGACTGTAGGTATCAGCTCCTAAGGAGCAGCAAACCCACACTAACCGCTCTAAGAAAGCAATCCCAACTATCTTGCTTCTGTGGGTTTTACAAAAATAGGGTCTTGCTGCCAGAGACATGATAGTGGTCAGCTGGCGAGTTCAGCCCTCTGCCCTTTTTTCCCTAACGCTGGTAATCCTCACATGTTCCACTAGAGCAAAGAGCTTGCTGGTTATGCCAGCAGGAAAGCACAGAGCAGCCCTGCCTGCCACTGATGAAGCAAGCGGGGAAATGACAGAACTTCACATTCCTGTTGCACAGGACCATTAAGTCTGTTTCTTAAAGCAAAAGACTGTAGCGATTCTCTGGGTGCTGTTCACGCTGCCTGTGAAAAGCTCTCAGGAAGAAACAGAGCAGAGAATTGGCAGGTGGGAACTCAAGTCTTTGCTCTTGGGTCTATTTTGATTTCATATCTCCTTACCTTTGGGACATCAACCACCTTTTTGGAGGGTTGCGGCAGGAAGGGAAGACCAAATGCACTACTTAAAAAATGTCTTGGGAGCTGAGATGTTTTAAAAACGCGAATAGATGCAGCCATCTACAGATGACCAGAAAACAAAGTAACATGGGGAAAGAGTGGGAAATAGAGGTAAAGGAACAGAGAGAAGAGCAGGAAAATCTTAGATTAAGTACTTCAGAGAAGCTTCCTGACCGTCAGACCTGCCGTATG